GCGTCGTCGTCGTCGTCGTCGTCGGCGTCGGCGTCGTCGTCGTCGTCGCGTCGGCTCCCAGCCCTGCCCGGCGCGACGCGCCGGGCCTCCCAGACGCAGGGGCCGCCACACGTGCGGTGGCCATTTTTTTGTTCGAGACGGGCGTTTTCGCCCAGGGGTTTAGGGCTTTGGACGTGATTTTCGACGATGTTGCAATTTTGCCGCATCGTCGGACCCCAGGATCGTGCTCCCCAAAACGGTGCGGCGGCCACACCGTGGGGTGAGTCGGTGGGGAATCGGGGTGCCCACGCGGTTTTGGAAATCCGGTCGCTCTCCGAGAACGTCTTGGGCGACTCAGGCCTCCGAGGTCCCAACACCGTGCGGTGACGGGCCGTGCGGCGAGGTCGCGAAGGATTCCGAGATCGCCGCGCGGTCTGTCACCGCTACTTTTTGGGACTCCCAGTGCTTCGATGGTTGGGTCGCTAAACTGGCCCAGAATCCCAGGCGCGCGCGCCGAGCACGATGGTGCCGCCTGGAACAGAACAAAGGTTTGCAGTCATCCGCCACTGTCCTGCCTGCGTCCAACGCCTGGGTACCAGGATCATTTGCTCCCCTCGGGCTGCACACAAACAAGCCCCCTAGGTAGTTCCAGCTGGCCTCAACAGGCTCCCTGAGTAGTTCAGGGCGGTCTGAACATCCTGGCGCCACCTCCGGCGGCGCCCCAGGTGACGACCGCCCCAGACTATTCGGTGGGCCTGTTGAGTCCAGCCAGGACTGCCTGGGGGTGCTGTCTGCGCGCAATCCGAAGGCTTCGACCCTTCCGCCACTCCCCTTCCCTTCAGAGTCGGGCCCTGGGCATGTCCTCGAGTGCGGTCTGACCAGGATTCCGAGGCGCATCTAAACGTGGCGACGAGGCCCCCCCTCCCCCTGGGACGCCCCCCCTAAAAGCAAACAAATTAGACATCCTCTCTTCCACCAGCGCGCCAGTTCCCTCCAAGGGAGGGACCCAGACAGCCGACGAATCGACTGTTTCGAGCTGTCGGCCCAAGACCGCTGCGTGATTTCCGAGACCGAGCCAAACTGCCGGGTCGGTTTGGGAGGTCGCCGCAACGGTCGCGGTGGCCACACATCGGGGCAAGGCTTTTGCCAAGGAGCGGCATGTTCCTTCCCAGCCCCCTCCCCGCTTTGCGATGCAGACGTGGCCCATCATTGGCCACACGGCGACACAGAGTCGTCAGTTTATGTCGAACATGGGGAGTGCTGTTGTTTGTTTGGAGTCGAGTATATTTTAAATCTGCGGGCGCCAAGTGGTTCAACACAGTCAGACGCTGGTCGTAGCAGGCGGTGGGGTGCACCAGGAGCGAATTGAGGCACGACAGCGGAGGAGATCAGAGCGCGAGGGGCAACAAGCAGGAGCCCGCTCAGACCATGAACGCGTGCGCGGGCGGGGATGCCGTAGAAGACATGGCAGCTGCGTCCGAGCAGACGAGGCCCGGGGGGAGTCGACTATCACGCAACCGCCAGGGTCCTCGACCCGACGCTCCCGTGGCCGGTTCTGCACCCCCCGCGTCCTGAGGCGCCTTGCGGCCCGAGACGCGCCTCCGGAGGCCTCGTTTCTGAGGAAGCAGTTGGCAGCTGGAGCGGTGCGGCCAGGTCGGGCAAGGCTGCGGTCACGAAATCGGCCAGAGGTGCACTAGGCGTTCCTGGAGGACCGATGCCCAGAGGGCATAGACCGTCAAAGTTGGTCCATATCACGCTCGCTGGTAGGCCCCAGCGCAGCATCCGAGCAGCGAGCGTCGGAGCGGGGCAAAGAGACACCAGGCCTTTCAAAGTTTGCGCGTCTTCTCCAGCAGCGAGCATGAGCTGGAAGCCCAGAGGGTTTTTTTTCCAATTTCCAGAAACCTGGATCCTCATCCCCTCCTCGAATCGACTTTCCGGATGCTGCCCCATGCCCAGGGCAGGCCTGGGGGATGGCGCCGCTTCCTCTCGTCGGCGCCCCACTCCGCGAACGTTGGGAAGAGGATCAGGTCAGCCGAGTCCAGCGGGATCCCTTTTTCTACGGGGTCGGGGTCCGCCCTCTCTCCTCTCGTCTCTACAATGACACAATAAACTTCCCCTGATGGCGTCCCGAAGATATCCGACCCCCCCGCGTAGTGTTTTTTTACACACAGGATTCCCGGGAAACGGGTTTTCGCTTGTGTTGTTTTTCAAAATGCTGCTCTCGCCGAGGCGCCGGCCTCATTTTCGGGCCCCGCTCGTTCCGAATTGTGCTCCCGCTGCAGCGCTGGCCTCATTTCCGTGCTTCCGCTCGTTCCGAATCGTGCTCCCGCTGCAGCGCTGGCCTCATTTCCGCGCTTCCGCCCGTTTCAACTCGTGCTCCCGCTGCAGCGCTGGCGTCATTTCCCGTGCCATGCCACAGCACACGCGCACACACGCACACGCACACACCACCACCACCACCACCACCACCACCACCACCACCACCACCACCACCACCACCAGCACCAGCACCACAAGCACCACCAGCACCACCAGCACCACCAGCAGCAGCAGCACCACCACCACCACCAGCACCAGCACCACCACCACCACCACCACAAGCACCACCACCACCACCACCACCACCACCACCACCACCACCACCACCACCACCACCACAACCACGCACCCACGCACGCACCCACGCACGCACGCACGCACGCGCACCACCACCCACTAGTCCGCGGATAGAGAAAATCAGCGCCATGGTAAGGGATGGGAGGGAGGGGTAGGACGTCAGATATGACGCGCGCGCGCGCACCTAGCTTGCCTCTCCCCCCTCCTCCCGTCACCTCCTCCCCGAGGAGGAGGAGGAGGGGGAGGAGGAGGAGGAGGAGGAGGAGGAGGAGGAGGAGGAGAAGAAGGACGAGGAGGAGGAGGAGGAGGAGGAGGAGGTGCTACCTCGTGCGCTTCCTCCCCAGACCCCAGACCCGTCCCAGGTCCAGCCTGGGCAGCTTGTCGAGCTGCGTCCAGCCGCGACGATCGGGAGGGGGGGCCCGCCGCGGGACCGCCGCCGGTCAGCCACGGGGCAGCCGTGGCGGAGCCGCGTACGCCCAGGGCTGCCCTAGGGCTGTCCCCGGGCTGTCCGTTTCAGTGCGGTCCTCGAGTTTCGACCCTGGACCTTCAAGCCTCCATCCGTGTCGTGCTCGGTGCTCGATCCTCCACCCTCGGTCCTCGAGTAGATACATTCTCGTCACCCTCGGCGAACTCGCAGCTCGGCCCTCGGTCTCTGAACCTCCAACCTCTTCATCCTCGGCCCGCCATCCTCTAGTCTCACTTCGACCCTCGAATATCCATCCTCCGTCCTGGTCCATCCTCGACCCTCCAGAATCGGCCCTCGAGCTTTTGTTCCGTTCCATGACCACCGCCCGGGGGATCGACCTCTTGGGACCTCGGCGGGCGATGGATGTGGACCCGCTCAGGCCCTGGGGTGTCCACAATCCACACCCACCGCCTGCAGAGGTCCGAGAAGATCGATCCCCTGTGCGGTGGTCATTGAGACCCCCCCCCCCCGCCTCGCAACCCATCCGCCTATCCGCGCCATGGTGCTACAAAGCTCCCGTGGCCTGCTCCTCCCTGTTCCTCCTCACCTTCCTCCGTGGCCGGTTGCTGCATCGTGGAGCCTCCTTCCTCCCTCCCTCCTCCACCGTCTTCCCTGGCTCCTCCCGTATCTTTTCTCCTCGCCCTCCTCCTCCTCCTCCCTCCCGCTCTCCTCCACTCCCGCTCCATCCTCCTCGTCCTCCTAATTTTTCCTCGCCTCCCGCCTCTCTCCTCCTCCTCCTCCTCCTCCTCCTCCTCCTCCTCCTCCTCCTCCTCCTCCTCCTCCTCCTCCTCCTCCTCCTCCTCCTCCTCCTCCTCCTCCTCCTCCTCCTCCTCCCTCCTCGTCCTCCTCCTTCCAACCCTCGATCCTTCAACGCCCCATCCGCAGACATCCGACGATAAGATTGTTTCAACGCTCGGCCCCGCAGGTCCTGGCCCCTTCCCAGAGATACGGCAGTGCTCCGTCCGAAAACCGTTTCTGATGGCCACATGGCCCGATTGCCGAAGTGGCAGAACTAAGTAAGAAGCGTTGGCTTAGCGTGTCGCGCCGCCAGTTCTGGTCCACCGCGCTTCGGCGCGACACGCTAGCCACGTCGTGGTCCCCGAGCGTCCACGTTCCGAGCTTTTCCCAGCCTCCCGCCTCGCGGAGCGGAGCGACACGCGATCCGTTTTCAGGGCATAGCGTGTCGCTGGGGCCGCCACCGAGACACGTTAAGCAAATGTTCCCGTCCGTACGCCTGGAGTGAAGAAAGCACGTCGTCGGAGATTTGGGACCGCGGATCCTCGAAACCGTGAGCGGCCCAAAGTGCCCCAAGCCAGAAGGACACATACGCTCAATAACCTCGATCCTCAGCCCTCTCGAACCTCGCTCTTTGAACCTCGACCCTCCTCATCCTCGACCCTGTATCCTCCACCCTCCTCATCCTCGACCCTCGGTCCTCGAATCTCTATACTCCTCCATCCCCGACCCTAGATCCTCGACCCTCCACCCTTGTTGATCTCGGTACTCGATCTCCAGACATTGGATGTCCTGATTGTTTCGATACGGGGTCCCTGGAAGTGCCGACCCTTTCCTCAGGGCTGGTATTTCTTCACGGGTTGTTGCTTGACGGTCCCGGGACCCAGCGAGGGCCCCGAGGGGCCGAACAGTTGAGCAACAACACAAAATCCCGTTTTGATTTGTTTACAACGCTATCATGTCCAGGTCCCCTACAATGTAGACCCATGCCAAGAAGCACCCTGCTTGCCTCCAGGGTGCCCTGGGTGTGTGTCTTCTGTTCCGATGGTTCTGCTATGGAAAGCGTGACGTTCCCACGGCTTGAATTTCTTGTGGAAGGTCTCTGGTGGTCCAGCCCATACTGCACCCGAGACCCTCCATCCTCCATCCTCCTTGTCCTCGGGCCTTTCATCTCGACCCCTCGAGCGACCGGGAGCGGCCGCAGGCCGCCGCCGCGGGGCAGCCCGAGGCCGCGGCTGCGAGTGCCGGCCTCGGCTCTCGGCGAGGGCGGGGGCTCTGACTTTTGTCGCGCCTCCTCGCGCCCGTCGCGCCGTCACGCCAGAGGAGGAGGAGGAGGATGAGGAAGAGGAGGAGGAGGAGGACCAGTGCAGTCCCAGGAGTCATCGACGATGTTGCAATACACCGGCCCTCCAAGCTCCCGCGTGACAGGCCCCCACAAGGATTCATTCCCACTGAGGAAGTACCCAGTTGGAAAGCAACCGTTTGAAAATCCTGAACCGCACCAGAGCACCATTCTTGGGCCTTCAAGCCACGAATCAACAGTCCTGTTGCGTCTTTTTCCGATCCTGGATAGTGCCAGAACATCCGTCCTGGACATCAAACCGCGAATCAATGTAACTGTCGCGCCCTGGAAGTCCTGCATTGTTCCAAAACCCAGTTTCTGGGACGTTAACCGTGCGAATCCTTGAAACCGCTGCAAACTATGAAGACGAATGTGCGCGGCGCTGAGGCGAGAGCCACATGTTGAAATTGAGCCGCCATCCACCCGCGAAACTCATGCAAATGGTTGTGACGTTTTTTTCGCGGCATGAAGACGATAACCACATGTTGAAAAATAGTCGCACTCCATCCGCTGAGCTCTTGCAAACTTTTCGAACGAATGTGCGCGGCGCTAAGGCTAGAGCCAAAGTTTGAATAGGAGCCGCCTTCCACCAGCAAAACCCTTCCGATGTTTGTAAGGCGAATGTGCGCCGCGCTGAGGCGAGATCAACATGTTGAAAAGGAACCGCCCTTCATCCGTGAAGCCCTTGTATTTTGTTAGACGAGTGTGCGCGGCGCGAAGGCGAGAGCCACATTTTAGAAGCGGCCCGCCCTCCATCCGCGAAGTTGCTGCAACTTGTGAAGCCGAATGGGCGCGGCGCTAAGGTGAAAGTAAAATGTTGAAAACGACCCGCCATCCATCACTCCGCAAAGTTCTTCCACTCTTATAACAAGTGCGTGGAGCTAAAGCGATAGCTTCATTTTGAAAGCGACCCGCACTCCATCCGTGAAACAGTTCTACGTTTGAATCTTACGGACCATCAATGGTGAGGAAGTCTCAGGTGACACGCCTGGCCCGCCCACCAACACGTGTCGGGGTGCGACAGGGAGGAGTTATTTATGAGGAAAAGGAATGAAGGAGGTTGAGGAGGAGGAGGAGAGGAGGAGGAGGAGGAGGAGGGGGAGGGAGGATCAGAGGGAGGGAGGAAGAGGAGGTAGAGGAGGAGGAAGTGGACAAGGAGGAGGATGGAGGAGGCAGCGTTCGCCGTGCTGCTCGCCTGCTGCGGCTGCTTCGCCAACGACTAGACCACGACTGTAGAGGACAATGCCCTCCCCAGGTCCACCGAAGACGGCGCCGCGACCGCCGTTCCGGTCTACGCCTTCGCGGGGACGCCCGTGGCCCAGGCGGTCACACGACCGGGCCGCTCAACATCATTTCTGGCGACGGTATGCGTCAAGACCAGCGCAGACGAGCCTTGCCCTGATCCAGCGCAGAGGCGCAGGATAGAGACGCAGGGGGGGAGGTTAAAGTGAGGATTGAATTGGGGGGGGAAGGGGGGGGGCATGCCCGTCTAGGAGAAAGGAGTCGCGCCAGCATTGAGACGAACATGTTGCACTGCCGCGGACAAGAAGGGGCAGAAACGCACACTTCTTGCGGGCTCAGTTGTTCCCAGCGAACTCGCCACAACGATCCCAGCGAACTCGCCACAAAGATGCGACGCGGGGACTATAGGCCGCGCGCATCGCACAGGGTCAAAGTGCATTTAACATTGCCCGCGCGCTGGTGGTAGCCTCGCCTCGCAGGGCACGGGAGATTATGAATGTACGCGTCCGCGGTGGCACCACCCCTGTACTAGATGCTCAAATTTTCGGTGGGGCCCCGATCCATCATTGCATGCGTTGAAGTACGATTTGATTACAGTGGTTCCTTGAGCAGCATTTGTAGATTGCCGGCCTGAGGGGACAGCTGTTGGGTATATTTCTCGGCGCTCGCTGCATCCCATCGGAGTTCAGCAGTATCCTCTGCAGCACGGCACTTGCGAATGATACAGGCTTTCCCATGTGATTGTTAGCTCCTGTTCCTGGTATCAACGTTATGACGCTACGTTCATGCTCTAGATAGTTCGGCATACTTTGGCCGATGCAAACTCCGAGTGTCGGGACATGCTGTATAGTAGCAGCAGCATCGTATCGGTGCAGACAGCGACCCTGCCAGCAGCTCGCCGAGTTCACTGCAGAAGTTTGCGGGTGGGAGAACAGGAATCCCCTTTGAGGCAAGGCACCCTGGCTTCTTTCGGTTCTGGGCATTCTTGGTATGTCACTGCCTTCTGGGTGCAAGGGGCCCTTGTCAGTCCAGGCGTCGCTGTTCCGTCCATCGTCACGTTCTATTGCGATGGCTGTTTTTCAGTGCATTTCGCACGTGCACCAGAAGACTGGTACTGATTATCCAAAGAGCGCCTAGCTTGCATGAGAGCTTCATGAGCTTATATTGCAGAATGTGCCTGCGCATGCACACACACAAGCACATACACAGACACGCACATACACACACACACACTCTCTCTCTCTCTCTCTCTCTCTCTCTTTCTTTCCAACACACACACACGCACACGCACACACATACACACACACACACGCAAACACACACACACACACAAACACACACACACACACACACGCACACGCACACGCACACGCACACGCGCACGCACACGCCCGCTGGCCCGCCCGCCCGCCCGCCCGCCCCCCCCCCCCCCCACCACACACACACACACACACACACACATACACACCACACACATACATAAAAACACTCACACATACACACACACTTAGTTCGGGGAATCATCTGTGCGCAGCTGGCCAGCTCCGCAAAGGCGCAACCGCTTGTTTGTTATCTGTCGTGCCATTCATGAGATGAGTGTGTGAGCGTGTGCGCTATCATGCGTGCGTGTGTGTGTGTGTGTGCGTATGTCTCTTTTTTCGTGACGCGTGCTGCCTTCTTAGGCCTCCATTTTTGGATGTCCCTCCATTCGGCTGCCCCCCTGGTCTGGAGTGGATGCCATTGGTCGATTTGCCGCGGGTCCTCTGCCGCTCGGCATGCGATGCTGCATAGTGAGCCGTCGACCGCGGCTGCAGAGCCACTGGCGCGTTGCCGCGCGCACTTTTGCGGAGGGACGGACGTGCGCGTACGTGCGCGTTCTCGCGCGCGCTCGCGTGTCCGTGTGCCTTCTGTGCACGCGCGCGCGCGCGTGTGTGTGTGTGTGTGTGTGTGTGTGTGTGTGTGTGTGCGGGTTCGTGTGCGCGTGTGTGTGTGTACCAGGCCGCGAATGCCAAAGTGTGTGTGTGTGTGAGCGTGTGTTTGTTTGTGTGTTTGTGTGTGCGTATGTCTCTGTCTCTGGTGCCAAGGTGCTGTTGCGCAATCTGTTCTAGGCCACCACGCGCGCGCGCCAGCGCCGCGACAAGAGTGTGTGTGCGTGTGTGCGTGCGTGTGTGTGTGTGTGTGTATGTGTGTGTGCGTCTCTCTCTCCCTTTCTCTCTCTCTTTCTCTCTTAGTGCTCCCTCTTCCAGCACGGATCGTTTCACTCTCGATCGCTGTCCTGAGCACAGGTCGGCGGTTCACTGCCACGCAACCCGTCACACGTCATGCTGCGGCTGTGGTGCCACACCGCCGGCGGAGTCAAACAGTCTATCTGTCTCTCGCCCTCCGCAGCCTCCGGCGCAAGGTGCGCCAGCCCCCGCCCCGCGCACCCCTCGGGCATGAGCCCAGATCGGCCTGGCCGCGCCCGGGCGCGGCCACAGTGGTGGCTGCCTGCCGCGGTGCTGGCCACGCGTTGCGGGCCGTCGCCGCCGCAGCGAGCGGACGCCTTCTCGGCCCCGTTCGCTGGGCGGTGCCGGCCGCTGACGCTGGGGCTCCGCTGCCGCCGCCAGGGCCCCGAGCTCGTGGCACAGGCCCCGCTGCCTCGGCGGACGCTGCTCGCCAGCGGCTGCGCGGCGCCAGGCCCAGATCTCCGACGATGTGCTGTTTTCAATCGGGCGGATTTCCTCGATTTCGGCCTCCAGGGTCCATTATCGGGCCCCTGGGCCATCCTCAACGGTTCCGGAGCGCAGCAATACCCCTGGAGAGGGGGTCGGGAAATGTCGCGAGTTCTGGGCCGCGGAAACGAAAAAAACACATCCGAGGATGTCAGGGGGACCCGGACTGGAGTGGCTGCCTGTGGAGGACCCGGGCTTCTTTAGCTCAAGGGGGGGAAACCACCCCGACCCCCATGACTGACGTTGGCTAAGCGGCCCTGGGCGTTCACGAAGCAGTCCTGCCCTGTTCGATTCCTTCCCTGGCTGCGGTTGCTAAACGGCTTTGCTTGTCGGGGTGCTTACTATGAGGGTGGCTGCCCTGCTATCCATTACAGCGGGGCCAGAGTGGAAGTAGGGGGGCGGAGTCGGAGAGGGGGCGCGTGCGCAAGGGGAAGAGGGGTGGGTGTTGGAGCCAGCTGGGGGGCTGAGGTGGCCCAGCACTGGTTTCCGCCATCTGGGGGCCGGCTTCGGGCCCTGGGACCGCCGGGAATGAATCTTCGGTGCGAAGCTGGTCCAGATGAACCCCAGGGGGGGTCGGGGGATTGACCTTGAGGGCCTGTTGGCCCTCACCCGCAGGGCCATCCAGTGCAGACCCCCTGGCCGCCTCCAAGGAAAGAGGGTGCGTGTGCAGGGGTGTGTGTTTGTGTTTTTGTTCCAGCACGGGGTCCCGGGAAGTCCCGACCCTGAGTCGGTTATTGACGCTCCGGGGGCGCAGCGACGGCATCCTATGATGTTGGGTCTTCGTTGACAGCGCCCCGCGTCCTCTCCTCCTCTTCCCCTCCTCTACAATTGCACGATATGAGTGCGACTCTTCTCTCTCCCCTGATGACGTCCAGAAGATGCCTGGCCCTCCTCCGCGTTTTTTTCCTGTACACCAGATTCCCGGGAACTGGGTTTTCGCTTGGGTTTTAATTCAAACTGTTGCTCCCGCTGAAGCGCTGGCCTCATTTTCGGGCTTCCACTCGTTCCGAATCGTGCTCTCGCTGCAGCGCTGGCCTCATTTCCGTGCTTCCGCTCGTTTCGAATCCTGTTCCAGCCGCAGCGTTGGCGTCGTTATTTCCAGCGCCATGCCACGGCATGGTTTTCGGTCCATAGGCTCCAACATGTAGCAAATGCTCCCCGACAAAAATCCATCGGAAGTGATTCCACATTCGGTGCCGATTCGTTGATTATTTGGGCCGCAGAAGCCCCCCCCCCACACTTTGGGGCGTCGCCACGCCATACGTTGTCATGCTACGTGTTGATCTCCAACGCCATGCTATGCTGTGTAATGCTTTGCCATGCTATGACATCCGACTGTGCCAATAGAGAGGAAATCTGAGCCATGGTGATGGGAGGGAGGGGCAGGACGTCAGATATGACGCGAGCGCACCTAGCTTGCCTCCTCCCCCTCCTCCCTCCCGTTCCTGTCTCTGTTCTCCGCGTGCCGCCACAATTTGGCACACCCCTCACACGGCTCGTGGCCCCATAGGGAGCTCCACCGAAGGCCCCAGCGGCAGGGCCCGCATGCGCCCGACACCCATTCTAGCACACCCCTCACACGGTTCGCAGAGAGATCCACCGAAGGCCCCAGCGGCAGGGCCCGCATGCGCCCGACGCCCAATGTGGCACACCCCTCACACTGTTCGTGGCCCCGTGGGGAGCCCCACCGCAGAAGATACGTACCACTGCTGTACTCACAACTGCATCTGGTTGGGTCCTTCGCCCGGATAATTGAACGATGCGACTGGGGAAGGGTGGGTGGGTGGGGGCCGAAAGCGGCTGCACGCAGCTGGTTTCGGGCCCGCCGCACGCCGCGTTCTTCGACGCGCTGTCGTCGCTCCCTGCGCCTCGCAGCGCCAGTTCCCTCGGCCTATCCTTACTACGGCCTGGAATTTTGGATTAGCGTGTCGCGGCGCTGCATCTGGTCCGCCACGTCTCGCCTATCCACGTCCCAGTCCCCAGGCGTAGAGGTCCCGAGCCTCCCGCCCCTCGGAGCGGAGCGACACGTTATCCGCTTGCAAGGCATAGCGTGTCCCCAGGGCGGCCGTCGCGACACGCGAAGCAGAAGTGCCCAAGAAAAGGGCCCGCACATAACACCGCATCGCCAACCCATCGCCACTTATGCGGCGCAAGCTTGGGCCCGATTTGCTGCTTCGCGGCATCGGCTCTGCATGGTCGACGCGTTGGCGATGCGGATTGGTCTTGGGTCCCACTTACCCCTGCCCCATTGCGGAAGCCTCGGAGGACGGGCCAGATGTGGAGGCGACGGATGGTGCCACCGTCCTCCCAGTGTTCCCCCTGAACGTCGTCGAGTGGGTGGGCAGCGAGATGACCATCAACGTCATCGAGCCCGCCTACCGCAAGATGTACGACGACATCCTGGTCTCGGGCGCGAGGCGCTTCCTCGTGCCCTTCGCCCCCTCCGCGCCGGGCTTCCCCCGCGGCCGCGTGCGCTTCCCGGAGATGGCCCCAGAGGCCCGGCGACTGCACGCCGTCGGCGCCCTGCTCTACGTCCAGGACCTCAAGGAGGTCAGCCAGCAGACCGGCGGGCACGTGAAGTACCAGGCCCGCCACTCGGTCGTCGGGCGGGCGAGGATGACTCGGCTGCTGAACCCGTCGGCGCTGTACGAGCAGGACTCGGACGGGTGGAAGGTGAAGTACCTGAGGGCGGAGGCGGAGCTGCTGGAGGAGCCGCCGGACCCCGGGCTGAGCGGGGAGGCGGCGGAGGCCGTGGTGGCCGCGTGGGAGACCCTGCGGCAGCTCGCCGAGGCCGCGCAGGAGCCGCGCATGGAGAGCGAGGCGAAGATCCGCCAGCTGGTGGCCAGCTCCACCACCTGGCAGCTGGCCGAGCTCTGGCAGCAGCTGCAGCTGGTGCTGCGCGGCTTCCGGGAGCGCTCCCGCGTGCTCTCGGAGATCAAGGAGTGGCTCCGGGACCAGCGGCGGCTGGGAAGCGTGCCCGCCGACCTCCCAGAGGAGCTGGCCGCGGCGCGCCTGGGGCTCCCGCAGCCGCTGCTGGAGGCGCTCGCGCGGTCGCAGCGGCTGGACGCCATGGAGCTGGGGCTCGACTTCTGGGAGCCGCTGCTCCGCATACAGGCCGCCGCCGCAGCCAGCGAGGGAGGCGACGCGAGCGGTGAGCGCGGCAGGCTGTTGCTCCAGCTCGCGGAGGAGGAGGTCCAGGTCGCGCGGGCGAGGGAGTCGCTGCGACAGGCCCTGGACTGAAGCGCCCGGCGCTCGGGTGCCGCTGGGGCAGGATGCTGCGCGCAGGAAAAGCCTGACTGAGTGATTGCCGCCCCGGCATCTGCAGGAAGGCCGCCGGGGCTCCCGATGTCGCTGCGAGTCTTGCCCTTGCTCTCGTCGCCAGGCCCTCACGAACCACGACCCCGAGCGGCACCTCGCCAGTTCATGCGGCACTGGCGCCGCCTGAACCGCAGAGGTGCCGCTTCGAGGGTTGAGCGCTCGGTTCGGCCACCAGAGAAGGAAGAAGCACCGGCCCATGTCCAAAAGCCTGCTGTCCGAGGTGGCGTGCAGATGCGGCATTTTCCCTCCTCCTTTCGCCTCCTCTCCCCTGCTCGCTCCTCCGTCTACAATTCTCCTCCCCGCTTCCCTCTCCCCTCCCCCTCTTCGCTCCTCGTCCGCTGACGACAACGACGGCGAAGACATCGACAATGACCAAGGCGGCGACGACCACGTCGATACCACGACGACGACGATCACGTTCGTGACGGCGATGGCAACGTTGACCACGTGCGCGGCTTCAGAGGCCCTGACACCTTTCCCAGGTCCCAGTGCCAGTCTTCCGTCACCGATCCGCTTTTGATGGCCCCTGGGACCGCTGACGGGCCCTGGAGGCCGGAATCAAGGAAACAGTTACGCCCGGATTGAAGGAGAAAGTTTTAAGGTGTGGCGATGACCCGGGCTATCGGGCTTGCCCGCCCAGGTAACCTGCCTTTGTCGGGGTACGCAGTGCTTGCGCACGCGGGCACACTTGGGGCTGCCCAGTGCGAAAATGTTAGGTGATCGGCTGTTACTTCCCCCACCCACCCACCCCGCCTGGTAACCCAGGTGATCTCCTAAAATCAAGGAACGGTTTCAAACAATCATATCTTGGACGCCCAGACTGAACTCCGCGCGGATTGAAATCGTCGGAGCTCTGGGATGCACCAGCGGCGGCGGCCGCGAGTCGCAGGCTTTTCCTCTCACCCAACAAATCAAACGGCTCAGAAAAGAAGGGGAACTGGGCGATACGCCCCTCAGGGGGCCATGCGGACGCACCTCTCTCGAGGATGGGCGCCTCCCGTAATCGTATACCCCCGAGGTGGGCCTCGATGTGTTGGCTATTTTGGAGAGCCCCGACGAGGTCGGGGATAGGGATCGACGCATCCCCCCGGGCATGCGACGTCCTGATTGTTTCAATGCGCGGTTCCCAGAAGTCCCGACCCCTCTCCCAGGGCCGTTGCTTCATCCCTAATAGCTATCTGACGGTCCCGGGGCCCAGCGAGAGCCCCCAGGGGCCGAAAACGGCCCAACTCCTCCCGTCTTGCTTATTTCGCGGTGGAACACTGTGGGACGCGGGGGGGAAGCTGAAAGTCGTCAGACAATCGGGGAACTTTGAGAGGAATCCCCGGGATGGTGTGTCTTTGCTCGTGGGGTCCCGCTCTCCTCCCCCCTCTCGTTCGGGCGTTTCTTCTGTCGTTTCCCCCTCTCCCTGCATGGTGGCACAAGTCGCCACAACAGTACCCCCGTGTAGTTAGCTCTTCGCCGGCGCAGTCACTATGCCTAGCCGCCCGGGCGCAAGACGAGTGTCTTTGCTCCCGTGTGCCCCTGCGCCCCCGCGATCCAGAGCCCCGGGCGGCCGAGGCCCCGCGGCGCGGGCGGTGGCCGCCGAGCCGCCGCGCGCCCCGGGCGGCTCGGAGGCCGCGGGCGCGCCACCCGCCACGGCGCGCCGCCCCGCGCGGCCGGCCCCGGTCTGCGCGCCGTGCCCCGGAAGCCCTCGGCTGCACGGTAGCCCTGCAGATCCTGGCGTCTCCATCTATTCGAGCCGGGCGTCTCTCGCCTTTTCTCGGGTCCCGGGGCCCTCACAGACCGATCGGGTTCGGACAATGGCGCAGAAAGATAGGGTCTAGGGCTCCGGGCGCGATTTTTCAAGATGTTGCAATTGTTTCGCTACGTCTGGGATGGCCGCGGGGGTTGTGAAGGGTCTCGGCGAATTACCAAAACGGCCTCGGCGGAAAGCGGCGAAAGGACGGCGGAATACGAAACCGCCTCCGCTGGCGGAAGTCGGCGGGAGGCGGCGGAAGTAAAAGATGCATCCCCAAGAGATGGAAACGTTTTTGGGTTGCTACAGTCGGACCGAGGTGTAAGATCGAGGTCGGTTCGGGGAGACTCGTGTTCTTCGTGTTTGCTGGATGTACTTGTGCAGCCTGGGGAGGGTGCCATTGGATGTTCTGTCTGTTCTGGCCAACGGGGGGTCTCATGTTGTTAGGGGTGTCCTTCTTGCCTAGATCCGACTGTCAGGGTCTCGGCTACACGTAGGAGAGGCCCTTCGCCAGAGTGATTCGGGCCCATTGGGCCCCCCCGATGGCCGAATGCGATGCGATAGCAACGGCCTGCGCGCTTGCTTTTTACCCCTTGCGCCCCCAAAGCCGCGCACCAAAGGTCACTCTTACCCAGGGTTACTCTTGCGTGTAGTTGAGGGTCAGCCGGCGAGCGAGGGGGGGAAGTAAGAAGGAGGAGGCCCTCTCAGAAGGCAGCGGGGCTGCTCAAAAGCCCTCCGGCCTTCTGAGAACTTTTCTGTGTCTTCGAGGATGAGGCTCCGGAAATTTTCTCAGTTTGTCGGAGGACTTCCGAGCCTTCTGACAAGGCCCGCCCCCTCTCACGTCCCCCCTTCGGCTGGCCGCCGAGAAATGGGGGGTTATGAGCGGATGTCATTGTGGACGCCCAGACATGATCGCGCTGTGAAGGAACCAGGACGGGAAGTTTTTTGCAGCTTGAGGGTTTTCGAGGCCCTCGCGGGACCGTCATCAAAACATCTCGCGCGCGATGAAAGACAGGCCCCGGGGAAAAGATCGGGACTTCCAGGGACCCTGTATTGAAAAATAATGGCATCGCATGTCTGGGTATATATTTGGCCCAACCTGGCTTAGAAGTGGGTTACAGATGCCCCAGGTATTGCTCAGGCGGGTCAGCGATCCGGGCTCCGCCCACCCAGCGGAGTTATCTAACACCTCTGAGCTGTTTGGGGCATCTGTAAGCCACGTCTAAACCAGGCTGTGCCAGATATAAGCACCTTGGCATCCGCTTGTAGCACCCCAATCCACTTAGCAACCTTATCGGTCATCCCAGTAGAGATCCAACGTATCACACAAACATGTTAAGACGGCGGTTTTGAACCGTTTTCGGCCTCTAGAGGCCCTCACCAGGCCCCAGGACCGTCAAAAGACTACCCAGGATGATATGCCGGTCCTCAGGAATGGGTCGGGACTTCCTGGGGGAATCCCTGGGACTTCTTGTTGAAACAAACGAGACATCAGATCTTTGGGAGCCCTGGGATCCAAAGCTTCTCAATGTTGTCGAGCTGGGCGTTTTCGCCATGTTTCGGGCCCCCCCGGGGCCCTCGCAGATCGATGTGGCCCGGAGAATGTCGCAGAGAGATGGGGTCTAGGGCTCCATGATGTTCTACGATGTTGTAATTTCTCGCGCCGCTGGATCTCAGGCAAAGGTGGAGAGGGTCGGATCAGGGCGCGTCGATTAGCTGCGGGCCCAATTTCCATGTAGAATCGGTGCGATCCGTCGCCAAGTCGGGCGGCATTGGCCCCATGTTTCGGGGGGTACTCTCCCGATCCGTAATCTAGGTTGGCGTACGCCCGCGGATGGGGAAGGAGGAGGAGGAGGAGGTGGAAGGTGGGATGGGGGCGGAGGGGGGAGCATGCCCTGGGCACGGTAGTGCGGGTAACTTGGCAAAGCATCTATGGACGCGTCCAAGTTCTGCGAGGTAACATTCGGACGGCATTGACCGCGGTACCGCGTTGCCATCTCGCCACGTCACGTGCCACATAAGCAAGTACGTATGGATCTCCGCAGTGAACCGAACAAGTGTTGCACGCCATTTCCACATGGGCAAGCTCAGTACACCTTCCAGGGCGGGCGGCTAGTGGACTTGCGGGGTGCAAGTCTTACCTAGTATACGACGCGATGTCATCATTGCCCGCTGCTCGTTGCAATCGACATGCTTGATCGTTTCTCTGGCGCTCGGATACATATCCCTTGCCCTGGTACATATACCCTCGGCTTTGGGTCTTGGCACGAGACCCACACAGAGGATGACGTGCCCGAATTGGAACATCTACCCGAGGATCACGGCAAGATGCCCCAGGCCACCTTTAGACATGGGCAGCACGACGCGCGCATGACAAACACAGCGACAAACTCGCTGGAAGAGAGTGGCCCAAAAGGAACGAGAACAGAAACGCTTGGAGCGAGGATGATGAGAAGGGCGGGTAACGATAGTTCGGCGGCGCCGCACACGGTTCTCGTCACGCTCATGTCGACGATCCATGGCTCTCGGAAGGCATTCAGGGCCCACCGCGTGCCTTCTTTCACCAGCACCGCCAGGCGAGGGCGGAAGTCACAAGTACCGTTTTGCTCCAAGAGTGGTTTTACCCCTGACCATCCTTATACAAGCCATTGCGCTTTTATTTGATGAAATGCGCAGCAGCCATGCCATGCCATGGCATGGCCATTCATGCCCAAACAGTTTCCATGTCCACCCGTGCCTCTTGTCCCAATCGTGTCCGAATGCCAATCGGGCCCCTTTGTTCGCAGGAAAGATGCAGACCCCCCTGGGACTTACAAGTTAAATCCCACACTGTTACGTGTTCGAGGATCCATCCCAAAATTTGATGCGAGAGGGTCGTGAGAAGATGATTGCAAATCCTCCCGCGTGCAGGGTCGTCCACGATTGATCATTCCGTTGGAGAACTACCCCAAAACATTATTCAGCCCGCCCAATGATACATGGGAGCGAATCCCACGTCGCCGCGCGTGCCGACCAGCCGCCAAAAGCAGTTTTGGCAGCAGTGCTAGGCAAACGAGTTTGCGCAAACTTCCGAATCCAAACGAAGCAATTCTTGTTGCAATCCTCATGGGAAGATGCTTGCAGATCCTCCCGCGTGCAGGACCGCCCACAATAGATTATGCCGGTGGAGAATTAATTCCAAAGCATTATCCAGCCTGCCCAACAATAAAGGGAACCTTGTCCCACGTCGCCGCGCGCGCTGACCAGGCGCCAACAGGAGTTCTACCAGCAGTGCTAGGCAAGCGAGTTTGCGCACATTCGCAAACCATAACGAAGCAATTCCGATTGCAATCCTCATGGGATGAGAAAATGCTCACACATCCGCCCGCGTGCAGGGTAGCCCACAATGGAGTCCCGCTGGAGAAGGAGCCCCAAAACATTACACAGCCAACCCAGCAATAGAAGGAACATAAGCTCCGCCGCGATGAGGAGGTGTTAGGACAAGTTCCATTCGCCGCTGCGAGATCAGGGGGGGGGTCAGAACTGAAAGCCTCCTGAGGTTCGTGGAACACGCTCGCATATCAACTCGAGCTGAGGTCAGATGACCTCTCAGGCGGTCGGGTGACCCTCCCGGGCTGACGCTGGCGGCGAGCCAATTCTCCGCCAGGGTCGGCCCAGGAGGGCCCGGGAGCGCTTCCCCCGTCAGGGCGGTGTCGGGCAGCACTCGCTTCCGACGGTCGGCCGCGGATCCATGCCCGCTGGTTCCCCTCCCTACTCGTCCCGCTGCCTCCTCTCACCGAGCGTGTTCCACTGCTTGCAACGTGCCTCCTCGCAATTGTCTGAGAAAGACATGTTCGCCTCGATGCCATGGACCGTAGAATCCCCCGCGGCGGATCCAGGCGGACGAGCCGGAGGCGGAGCAGGAGGAGGCTTAGGACGTATGGGGCAGGGCGAGGAGGTGAACGAGAACGAGCACGAGTACAACGAGGAGGGCGAGGAGGGCGAGGAGGGTGATGAGGGCGAGGGCGAGGAGGACACGAGGAGGGCGAGCGGGGCAGAAGAAACGAGGGAGGACATAAACAACGAGGAGGTCGAGGGCGTGGACGGGGCGTAGGTCGAGGGCAAGGACCGCGAGGGCGGCGACGACGACGACGACGACGACGACGAGGACGACGACGAGGACGCGGCAGGGCGAGGACGCACGCGGCGCAGGGCATCGCGGGCTTGGCCAGGGACGCTGCCGGGGCCGCTCGGGAGTCGGGCTCCGCCGCGTCGGTCGACGGGGGGCACACGCAGAGGGCGGCGTCGCTCACCCACGTGATGCCCAGACTCCAGGAGCTCCCGCTCCATTGCTTGTCCCTCTTCTCTCTGTTCCATCTTCCCCGTCCCTGCTCACCCCTTCATGCTACCTCCTCCTCCTCCTCCTCCTCCTCCTCCTCCTCCTCCCGCATGCCTCCTACTGCATTCTCCACATCACCCTCCTCCCTCCTCCTTCTTCGACCGACATCCTCTCGGCCTCCCTGCCTCATCATTCCCCCTGCCTCCTCCCTTCCAGGGTGCCATGCCGATCTGATCGATCTGGGTCGAGAGCCATTCTGGCCAGCCTGGTCCGATTCGACTTCAAGATTCCGACAATGCGATGCGGCCCGATGTTTGCATGGCCCTGTTTTGTATCCTGGCGCAGCCGATGCTATTCGATATCGACTTCGTGACGATGCAGTCCGATCCGACGCACATTTCGGTTCGATCCGATTTCCCGATTCGATGCTGATTGAACTTGCCCTCCCTGCCTGCCTCCCTCCCTCCCTCTTCGCTGCCTCCCTCTCTCTTCCCTCCTCCCCTGTGCCTGCCTGCTCCATTTCCGTTCCCTCCCTCCCTCTTCCTGCCCCTCCTTCATCTCCTTCCTTACATCCTTCCTCCTCTCCCTCCTTCCCTTGTCCTGGCATCGCTCGGACGTGTGCACTTTCTCTTCGGCAGAGACCATCGAGGAGCATCCTGGACCATCGTGCGAAAAATACACGCACGAACCCGACAGATGCAAGGGGAATGGTTGTCCGAGCGATGGCGAGTAGCTCCTGCTCCACTTCCTCTCCTTCCCTCCCTCCTCCTGCCCTCCCTCCTCCCTCCTTCCTCCTGCTTGTGAGTGTGGCGTCGTGTGCCCCTCTTGCCGCCTTGCGCCCTCCCGACTCGTGCCGAGGACGCGGTCGAGAAGCCACCGCCCATGCTGAAGCCAGTGGGCCAGCGTCCGTGGGGGGGGGAGCATGTCACTATGGTCGAGCATCTGATTCAGAAACCTCCTCTCGAAAAGCTTGGCCAGCGTTTCTTAACCACCTTGCCAGAAAGCTGGCCAAGTTTCTTGCGCACGTTATCCCCTCCAGCGTTCACAGAAACAGTTGGCCCAGGTTCATCTTTACAGATTTCCGGGAAGTTGGCCCATGTCTCTTAGGGCATCAGTTTCTTGATCATGTTTGCGGCTGCACTTACCCCACCACCGCAGCCCAACCCGAAGATCTCAGACCCCCCCCCCGAAAGAAAATTCGGGTTGGGATGTGTGCGGGTTCCACGGTATGTTCTCCGTGTTGGGTTGGTTGGTGGGTGGTCAGCATGAGCAGGTCGAACGAGTCAGCGGGCCCCGCGCCACCTCGTCCGCGCATATGCCTTGGGCCATGATTGGCTAAATCTGCGATCTGGCGGTGCCAAGAGCTTGCGACATCGCGGGGGACCACGGCCGGATCCCCAGACCCCATCGTTCTGCTGCGTTTGGCATCGCTCGGAGGTGCGCATTTTTCTCAGCATTTTTGGTCATCTTGCGAACAACTACTCGCACGAAGTCGACAAAATGCACGGGGAATGGACGTCCGAGCGATGGCGGGTTCATGGTTCGAGCCATATCAATATGTCAGGGTCCCAGTGCCCGAAATTTGGCGACGTGACAAATTTCAGCGCCCGGACCTGAGGGACCCCTCTCCCGCTTGGACGCTGCCCCAGCTCGCTCTGGCCCCCCGTGAGCGCTGCGTGCGTCGAGCGCCTGCTCTCTCGCGCGCCGCTGCGAGGGGTACCACTACCTCCACGGCCCCCTGGGGCTGGTGTCCCCTCCTTCGGGCCACCGAGTGATTGCAGGAGGAGGGGGTAGTTTAGATTTGAAGCCGGCTGGGAGTCTGAGGTGGCCCAGCACGGTTTTTGGTCAGCAGAACGGCGGGGACGAGGGTATGTCTTTTTGCTTTTTGTGTTTCCTGGGGATTTCTCGTCGCCACGGCTGAACGCAGCTCGCGAAATTGGTGCGTTTGGACCCTGGGAGGGGTCTGGGGACCTGTTTGGAGCGGATTTGGCCTCATGCCCCCCCCCTTGGCCGATTTTCTCGCTTCCTATCCAGCGCAGACCTTCGACCGCCTCCAAGTTCACATGCTCGTTAGGCCGATCGTCCTGGAGACACTCATGGGACTCGTGCTTCGGTGATGCGTCGAACGCCTGTCGACTCGAGCCGAACTTTTTAGTCGGACTTGAGTCGACCTAGGGTCGTGCTAGAGTCGTAAGTCCTGGAGTCGAACTAAAGTTGAACAGATCCGTTCGGTGGGTCCCAGGTGTATCGAGGGGGGCCCAGGTTTTCGGGCGCTTGTGGCGCTCTCTGGGCCTCCAGGCCCTCCAGAGACCTCGGGGGACCTTCAGGAGACGGTGACGACTGTGCGGTGGGGGGGAAGCTTCGGGTATCAAGCTGGCAAGCGGAAGTGACGGGTCTGCCCATGCGAAGGAATTTTCAGTCAGCAGGCTCGGTGAGCGACGAAGGACTTGCGGCAAGGGCAAGCCACCTGCTCGACTTCACAAGAATGCGGTGCGGTATGTTAAGCTGGGGTAGCAGTGGAAGAGAGGAGGGTGAAGGGGCAGGGACTGTGACTGGGGTTGGAAGTGGGCGGGGGGGAGTGAGGAAAAGAAGATGGGAGTGGTGGGGAAGTGGAGGGCCTGGGAGGGGTTAGGTGAAGATGCAATGGGGTTGGGGGGCTGGGAAGTAGAGGTGGATGTGGGGAGGGGGAGAGACAGGCGGGGGGGGGGGGAGAGAAGCCAGGGAGGTGCCCTGGCTGACTGACTGACTGACTGTCTGACTGGACGCATCGTGTAGCGGCCAGTTTTATGGTTGGTGGCCGAGAGCGCAACTTCTGGCGCAACCAATAGCAGGCCATTCCCGGGCGCAATTTCAGCTTGTTTGTGCATGTTCGGCAGCCGAGAGAGCAGCCAGTGACGCAACCGTGGGAAGCGGCTGCACGTTCGGCAGCCGCGAGCGCAATCTGTGGTGAATTCAACAATCGGCCGTGTTATGTTCGGCAGCCGAGGGCACAACCCATGGCGCAACCCCTTGAATGGCGCAGCCTGTGGCGTAACCCCTGGGTACCGCACCGCCTGACGCAACCTAGTGTTCAACAGAGCCCGTGCCTGCACGGAATTGATGAGACTCGTTTCGGGGGAGGCGGTCTCAGCTTATCGTCGTGAGTCCTGTGCCGACGCCGACGAAAGACCAGTCCAACCGAACCCGCAGTGGTTGGCTCTCGCAGTTTCTGCCGGACTGCGCCCGATTCATGCTCGCCTTTTGGTCTCGCTGTCTAGTGTTTCTTGCAAAACATTGGAGGCCTAGAGGGGGAGTATGATGAGCAGGGATAGGGGACGGGAGGATGAGAAAGAGTGTGTATGTAACGAGGAGGAGGAGGGATCACTCTGGAATCCTCTACAGGCCAAGGGGCACAAAACGTACACACACATACACGTACACACATACATAGTTATGTGCATATATATATATATATAAATATATACATACACATACATTTATACATACATATACATAGATGTGCAACTATATCTATATAGATGTATGAGTGCATGTTAAGGGCTGCGCCCTCTGCCGCCGGCCCCCCTATTTCTAGTGCGGGCGGCTGCGCGGGAGTCTTCTTGGGGCCTCTTGGGGTTTTCCTTGGGGCCTCTTGGGGGCCTCTTGACGTCTCTTGGGGGTCTACTTGAGGCCTCTTGGGGGTCTCCTTGGGGCCTTTTGGGAACAATATTTTGGGTCTCTTGGGGGTCTCCTTGGGGCCTCTTGGGGGCCGCTTGGGGCCTCTGGGGACCACCTTGGGGCCTCCTGGGGCACTCTCTGGGTGGAAAGGTCGAGGTTTCGATTCGTGGACTCCCTCTTGGGCCTCTCTTGGGACCGTCTTAGGGCCCTCTTGGGCCGTCTAGGCCCCCTCTTGGACCGTCTTGGGGCCCTCTTCGGTTGTCTTGGGGCCGTCATGGGGGCCTCTTGGGCCGTCAGGGGGGTTCCTCGGGCCGTGGTGGGGCGATCTTGGGAACCTCTTGGTCCGTCTCGGAGCGCCGGAAAGCCGAACAGGCGAGAAGGCCAAAAACCTTCCAAAACGTTTGGAACATTGTTGATTTTTGCTTCGTGGGGCCCTTTTGGGAGGCCTCTTGGAGGCCTCTTGGGCCGTCTTGGGAGCATCTTGGGCCGTCTTGTGGCCATCGTGGGACATATTGGGGCCATCTTGGGCCGTCCTGGCCTCCTGAGGCTCTCTTCGGAGCCTCGTCGGGCAATCTTGGAAGCCTCTCGGGCCGTTCTGGCCGCGCGGTGGCGTCACCATGAGAATCTTAGGGTGTCCCGGAGCAGCCTGGATTTGAGGTTCCCCCCCCCGTTGGATGTTAGGTGACGCGGCGGGGCCCCTTAGCAGACTGTAAACAGGAGGCAGGAAGCAGGACTGGAGAGACAAAAGCCCAAACAACAATGGGCAACACATAGCACATGACAGCAGACCCACACCATCGCAGCCTTGCGCCCCCGGAGGGGACCTGCGAATACATACACACATATACACATATATATATACATATGCACACATACATATTCCGATGTACATACATGTACATATACACATTCCGATGTACATACATGTACATACACATATATATGTACGCACAGATATAGTTGGCTTCGACTCGATGCTCGATCTTGAGGAGGAGGAAAGGCGGAGGCTGAGGAGGGATGAGGAGGAGGAGGAGGAGCTTAATCCTTCTCCTCCTGCTCGTCCTAAATTTCTGAAGTGGCCCCAAGGAAACGACAGGGCATTCTTCGTTGTGTTTGTTCGCCGTTTCCATGTGTCAGTTGGTTGACAGTTTCAGGCGCCGTTATTGTTGCTGTTTGCGGCGCGGCGACGCTGTTTTACCGTTGCCATGTCCCCTGGTCGGGGCCTGGTCCAGATCGCAGTTGTTGTTTATCGTTTCGATTTACCCGCGTGTTTGCCTTTTTTTTGTTGGGGGGGGGGCAGGGGGCAATTCTTTGAAAGCGGTAAAAAAGAAGATGGCCCTACAATTTCCAGGGTCGTCCTCCTTCCGCTCCCCTTCTCTCCTCGCTCCTCCTTGACCTGCTTGTGAGGAAGGGGCAAGACGATGACGAACGCGGCAATGACGTCGGCGGCGGCGACGACGACGAGCGCCGCCGCAGGTGGTGGCGGAAGCGCCGCTGTCAGACGACTGCGCGCTGTCGATGTGGTCGGAGTGGTCGGACTGCCAGCAGCTGCACGACGGCTACAAGGCCTGGCCCCTGCCCGGCGCACCTCCACGCGGTTGGTTTGAGGGAGGGGGGAGGTCCGGGAGGCTCAGCGTCGTTTATCCGATCTCTATATCTTTCTCCATCCCCGCCATCCCACCACCCTAGTTGGGGACATGCCCCTCGAAACTCGAAGGAAACAACCTATGTCCCCATCCAAGTGGGTAAATCGGTCATTGGGGCCCAGGCCACGCCCGTGGGGATGGGGATCGGTTAAACGATTCTCAGAGGCGCCTCTCATCGCCGCGCGGCCGGAGTCGGCTGCGGAAGTCCTGGACACGACGCGCCCTTGGAGAGGCGCGGGGCCCGATGTTTCAGGGGCGGGCGCGGGGAGGGGAGGGAGGGGAGTGGGCAGGACAGGGTGGGAGGGAGGAGCATAGGGCTAGGCCCAGCTGGCGACGGAGCTCGACGAGCGGATGTAGGGGGGGAGGAGGACGAGGAGAACGACCGGGAGGAAATGAGGTCGAGGAGATGGACGGGGGGAGTTGAACGAGAAGGAGAAGGATGAGGACGACTAGGACTGGGATGAGGATGAGGAGGATGGCAAGCAGAACGGGGTTTGGAATCATGACAAGACGGGCGAGGATGAGCAGGGGGGGCCGACGATGACCAAGACGAGGAAGAGGAGGAGGAGGAGGAGGAGGAGGAGGAGGAGGAGGTCATTGCCGTAGTCGCCAGCGCTCCAGTGGTCTCCCGCCTGGGAATCTCCCGGAGGTCTTCGAGAATTTGCCCTCAGCCCCCCGAAGGCCTCTGCGAGGCCTCGGCGAAGGCATAGAGCCTCCCCAGGCCGTCTTCGGTCGGGAACTGTTGTGAATAGCGCGTCGCTCCGCTGGTTCTGGTCCACCACGCTTCAGCGCGACACGCTAACCTGGAAGAGTCTTTAGTTTTGATCCTCCCCCCTCCTGTTTCTCTCGGCGGGGAATCAAGCTCGTCCCTTCTCTTCCTCCTGCTCCCCCTCCTCCCCGTAGTCGTAGTCGTAGTCGTCGTTGTTGCGCGGCGGGTGCCGTGGGTGAATCATTGTTTTCCGCTATTGGTGGGGTCCCAGGGCGTCGAAACGATACTGTAGTCAGTTCCCACTGTTGGAGGGGGTTCTACAGACCTTTCGGGGTTATCCAATTCCCAGCCCCCAGGCTTCAAAGGTCCCGGGTCTTCCCAGCATCCGTCCCGCGGAGCGGAGCTACACGCCATCCGCTCGCACGGCATTTTGTGCCTCTGGGGCCGCCTGGGCGAAGCGACATCCAAGAGTCCCCGACCTGATGGGCCCATTTTCCACCACTACCATATGAAGGAGGAGGGGGAGGAGGAGGAGGAGGAGGAGGAGGAGAATAAGGATAAGGATAAGGATAAGGATAAGGATGAGAGGATAAGGCCCTCAGAGGTCTATGGTCTCGAGCCTCTTGTGAAGCTTGGGAGGGCCCCTGGGAAGCATATGGAAGCAACCCCTCTAGTCCGACCTTCGTCGGCCCGAGGAACTGTCTGGGGCGAGGCGAGGCGGGGGGCTGCCTACGCGGGCCCCCCGTGTCGCTGCCCCGCTGCAGGAGCCCCTGCACCGTAGAACAGTTGTGGGGGAGACAGGAGCCTGCCGCTGCCTCGACTTGCGACCACACTGGTCGCGGCACAGAGTGCTGTGAACTGCTGCGGTCCTGCACGCAGGGCAATGGGAGCGGGCCTGTGCCAAAACACTCTCGGAACTCGCTCACTCTAACTCTGAGATGCCGAGCCCCCAGCTAGTCTTAGTGGCGACTGCCTCGTTCGTGAGCCCGGCGTCTCCGCTCACCCTGTTGGTGGTCGGCGCCTCCATCAACACGAAGTGGGTCGTCCACCCCTGTACCGAGGCCGACAGCTTGTGGCACTCTGCGCGCCTCTGGTGGATGACTGCTCCCGTTGGCGTCAGAGGCACAGGATGCTGCTTCTCGTCGGCAGTGTCGTATCCGAATCCGTGCTTGCTCTTCGACCATTTCGTGTAGCAGCCATCCAGCTTGTCGTTCTGCTTGCGGCCGTAGTCCGTTTCCCACGGGAATGGGCTTTCATGAGCCTCGAGGTGTCTTCCACGCAGCCTTTCAGCTCAGTGGCGATCTGGATCGTGTGCTCGATCTTCTGCAGCTGGTGTGTCATGATCTCGATACCTTGGATTCGCTCCATCTCCTCGTACACGTTCTCGCGGCGAGAGTACTTCAGTCGCCCGAGACTTGTGGTGAGCCGCTCCTGTTGGCGCTGGAGCGCGACGATCGTTATCTGGACGGGGTCGTTGCACTGCTTGCAGATTTGGTTGGTGGTTTGCATGCTGGAGTGCGCAATGGTGAGGCGGTACTCCATGCTGCCGACAACCTGCTCGCCCTGTCCTCCACGGTACTGAGGGCGCTGCACAAGAACTGGAGGAGGAGGTGGGTGCTGCATCCGCTGCTGCTGGATCTCGTTCTCTTCGGCGCCGACCGTGTCCGCGCGTCCGCGCCGTCCATCTGTCGGTTGCCCGTCGGGCTGTCCATCGTTGTTTCCCGTGGGCCTGGGGTGGCACTAGGTGTCTGTATGAGCCTCTGATTTGATCGCGTGTGGTGGTGGATCGGGAGGAAGGGTGGGAGTTGGTTCCCGTCCAACTTTAGGCTGTAGGGGGGGGAGTGCAGTAAATGCTCCCCCCCCGCTGGCTACTGTATCACTGCATAGTAGTGCCTAGTACGCGTGTCCCTGTAGTAGTTGGCAGTACGTATTAGGTTACCCATGAACCCACCGTGTTGCTGTGCTTTGTTCTTCAGGTCCTGGAAACGTACTAGGTCTTGACTAGTTGCCATTGCTATATTTTCCTCTCTCGTCCCTGGCGGCACTGCTGGTGGCCAGCGAGCAGGGCTGACATTGTTGGACATCGCGGGGCCTGCAGCAGCTGGGGGCTCTGGCGGGCTGCGACGTTGGGCTGGGGCCTCTGGTGCCTCTGCGAGGTCTGATCTCAACGCGTCTTGTTGAGCTGGCGCTCGATGGCTCTCTCGAGCCCCGTTTCTGGCCCCCCCGATACGCTCTTCGTCCCGCCCTGGTGGGCTATGGCCGCGTTGACCGCCTGCTTGAAAGCCGCCCTCACGCACGGGCTGGTGGTGATCGCGAACGTCACTTTCGCCATCCGATCGTTGTCGTCCAGCGCCTCCTCGCTCTGGTAGTATGGCTGCACCTTGAACTGCTTGGAAAATCCGGTCATGATTTTCATCCCCCACGCGCCGCTCACCGTCGTCGTGCACTCCCTCAGCGTGGCCAGGATTGGCGTCATATGTTCTGGAAGGGCGGCTGTTTCGTTGTTCATCTTCTCGATCAGACTTTCCACGAAACTTGCTGCTTCTTGTTCATGCGGTGGTCCTAGTTTGTGGCCCTTGCCGTGCTCTTTGGCCATGCGCCCGTACTGGCGTCCCGTCGCGAGGCTGGACTGGGCGGCGTCGCTTGCGAGGCAGACCAGCCAGAAGTCGCCTTCTTTGTTGCTCAATTTCCAGGTCGCCGCGCTGTTCTGGAAGGCTAGCTTCTGGAGGGCTATCATGTCGTTTCTGCGCTCCGCTGTCAATCCACCGCCTTCTCCTCCTCCGCCTGGGGGTTGCTGCCGCTGCTGCCCTTGCCCTGCCCCGAGGTCGCCGCCTTGGTACCCCGGACTGCTGCTCCTTGGTCTGGTCCTCCTGCTCCTCGCTTCCCCTCGATCCGCCACATCATGCCCTGGCCTCCCATGGCGGAAGGTAGTGTGGATACTATGTGTTGCTGCGCCTCTGGGCTCTCGGATCTGATCTGGCCCTGCAAGGTGGCCCTTGATGCACTGCTGAAGCTCCGCAAGTGTTTCAGCCTCAGGTTTACATATTCGACATATCAGTGTGCTGGGCTCCTGCACTTCGTGGGACCATCTGGAGCGATCTTCGTGACATATGCCATGACGATGTACCGCACGTGAGCTGTACGTCGGTTGGCAAACGTGCTGTGGCACCAAGGACACTGGTTAGTGACGATTACGGACGCCACCAGCGGTTGCACGTTGTGCGTCTCTCGGCGATGCCCAGCCAGCGCTGCATAGGTGGGGAATCTGTGCCCACAGACCATCTCCTGTCCCTGCTCGTCCTGTGTAACGCGATCACACCAGTACGGTTTGAGTAATTCCTCCTCCTCTTCCTCACCTGGTACCTCTTCCCTCCCAGTAACGACGTCCCAATTTCGTTCGTGAATGTATAGTGCCCTTGGGTCCGTCTGGAGCCAGTTGGAGTGCTCGGGAGTTCCCTGCTGTAGTAAGGCTATAGCCGAGCTCCTCGTCTCGAATCATCACATGCTCTGGTCGATCTCTGCATGTGCCTGGAGGTCTTCTAAGTACTGGTGGGCCCATGGGGTAGAACTAGCGTCGACCCATCTACCGTCCCTGAGTCGCTGTATTCCCTGACTGTCGTCTAGCTCTGATGTACCGAATGCTGCAGCCACAACCGGTCCGTGTTCCTTAGGATGTCTCGCCCATCTCTGGTACCACCTAAACCGTCTGACTCTAAGGGCGACCGCGGTCCTCTCCAACCTCCAGTCTCTGAACACCTGGGCGTTAGTGTTACACCTTACCGCGCCGACCTCTCTCTCCCATGACATAGCCCCCCCTGCCATAGTCCTGAGGTACTTCGCAAGCACACTGTCCAATGCGTCTGTATGGGGACGCCTAAGTGTAAAAGGGGCAAGGTCGCTAAGCGCCGCTCCTAGCACGAATGCCATGAACATCAACCTTTTTTAATATGTCGTGGTGTATCTGATGCACAGAAGATGCCACATTGTCTCCACGCAATCCGTACTGCTGCTATACGTCGACGTACTTCGCCAGCTAGCCCTTGGCCTGTTGGTAAGTAGGGTCCTAGCACCCTCATTTCTATGAGCGCTGTCCCCTGAAGTGTTTTTGCTTCGTCGAAGCTGTCTGGTTGCTGCGTGGCTTCCTGGTCCTACCAGATGTACCAGGTGGTTGGCTTTTCCATTGGTGAGACCCCAGCCCCCTCTGGCAATGGTAGTGGCCAGCTCTGCCGTGGTTGTGTTCAGCTCCTCCTCGATTCCTTGTGGTGTAGACATGCTGTGAAGTTGCGTGTTCTTGTAATGTCGTCCATACATATTTTGATGGCAAGGTCGTATGTTGCTCCGTCGGTTGGGTTGATTGTGTCGTGCAATTGCTGGCTCGGGTCCTTGCGTTATTCCTCCCGCCATTGGGTGACGTACAGGCTGCATGCGTCGTTAAAGTGTCTTGCGCAAAGGATGAAGCCCATCTGGGCTCCTGTGGTGCTGGTGACCTCGACTAGGCCGTCGGATGCTGTTAACGTGAGGGTGGAGTGTTCGATGGCTGCCATTGCGAACCGTTTGTCGTTGTCGTGGGCATGTTTGAACGCGATTGCTCGAAGGAGTGCTCGATTGGTGGCTGCAAATGCGTTGGTACCGTCGTAATTCGTAGTAACTGTGCTGATCCCTCCCTGTGTAGCCCTCCACTGCGCCGCGTCCACACAGATGCTCGCATTATCCCTACTTCTGTGTGCCAGACCCCCCTGCGCCCGGGGGGGGGGTGTAGAGGGCTCTCCTCTCCTTGGGATACCAGAGCGCCATGCCATGCTGAACGAGTCATACGCATGCAATATGCGCTTACCCAGGACTCCCTCCTAGTTGTGTTTTTTTTCTGCCTGGAAAGCCTGTGATCTGTGCCAGTCCAATGGTACAGCTTGTGTCATTCTGCATTGCTCGAGGACTATGTCCAATATAGGTTGGTGCGCACATGTGTGGCTCGCCACCTTCGGCACTCCTATCCCTGCATGTTCACTTCTTTCAACGTCGTAGGATCGTGCTGCCCACAGTAGTAGCTGCCGCTTTGCGTCGTACTCCCCTCCACCTCTTTTGCCAAGGGCCGCTCCCTCCTGCCATCCCATCTTCTGCATCAACTGCCGTCCCCTCCGAAACCGTCCTAGCGTAGTGTAGTGTGCCAAGTCCTCCTCGTCTTCTCTTTCTTCCGCTGCCTCTATCCTCCTCCTCCCCATCCTCTCACTCAATTGTGTCGGGTCTTCCAGATGCAATGTAGGGTCGAGAAGGAGCCATGTCATCTCTGCGGGTAGTCCCCATTCTGGCCATGCCCGTCGCTTGCACGCTATCATGCAGTAACGTAGCTTGGCTGCTTTGTCGCTGTCTACCATCCTTCGGAGGTCGTGGTCGCGTGGGAGGGGGGATCTGCATTCCTCGGCGTACTCTGCATGCTCCCTGCGCGTGCTCTCACGATCCAGGGGTATTGCACCTAGTCCGCCCTCCAGTGCTGGACGGCTAAGTTCCAGCTCCCAATACGCTTTGGGCCAACGTGTCCTGAGGGTAAGATAGTACCTCTTCGTCGGGCCTCCGCCGTTCCTCTGGTACTGTATACGTAGGCGATGACTCTCAGCAAAGTTTCGGCGCCCATATGCCAGCCATATTAGTTATACTATCTTTGCTTCGTTGTTTCTGTAATTTCTCTGGTTGTTTTTAGAGCTGCCGTCACCTCTCTCGGTTCAGTCTGCACAACGTCGTATTCCCTGTCGTCACATTCGTCACACAGTAGTTCAAGTCGGTATGTACGTGCTGTTTTGACTATTTGGTCGACCTCATCTTGTGGGTGTGCTCCGAAAATTTGCTGCATGGCTCGTCGTACTGCCCCCCCAAATAAGTCCAGGGTGCTGTCTGGTGTGCTTTGTGCCAACGCCCCCTCCCATGCTGCCTCTCCCACCTGGCTGATCGCCGCGTCGATGGCGTCGAACAGCTCCGCCCTCTTGTGCCCCCGCCGCACGCACTCCATGAGACCGTCCCTGCACGGTCCCTGTTGTCGGGGCGCGGTCGGAGCTGGGGGGCGAGGGAGGTGGGGGGAGATGGTCAGGCCTAGTGGGACGTGGTCACGGTGCCCTCCGGTCTTTTTTTGTAGACGCTTTCCTGCTCCGTGTAGTTGCGTGCAGTGCTCCACATTTCCCAGAAGCCCCGTGAGTAAAGCAATTGTGTCTACCCTGCTTGTGTGCCCCGAGTGCCCATAGCATGTAGGACCAATATTGTAATGGGTGGTGACTATGCTCAAATCGCTCCCTACACACATCGTCCGAAAGCTCTGGCCGTTGTAGTTCTCGAGCTTGGGCACCTTTGGGCCTACTGTCGGGCCCTTACTGCATACCACTCCCCCGTCGAGGTCTCTTTGGCACCCGAAGTCGCTATTTACGTCACCCCCCACTATTATCGTCGTGCGGCATCCTAGTCTGTCGATCCGCTCCTCCAGCCAGTGGCTGATGGCGTTCGCCAACTTGGGATAGTACTGCAAGTGGGTGGGAGCGTAGTAGGCAACAAATAAGGCGTAGTCGAACTTCGCTGTGGTGAGTCTCACCCCCGCTACTCTCCCCTGCAAAGCTGTCGGTGGGTGGTAAATGTCCCCTCACGACGTAGGGTCCTAAGTCTTCGCTGATGCAGATGGCGACCCACAACTTTTGTTGGTCCACTTCCCTTTCTTGGCTTCGAACTGGATGACATCGTGGTGAGACAGGATGTTGCGTTGTTAAGCTTCTGTACCCGCCCATCTACACGTTCCGCTGAGCAGTATTACGTCCCAACTCAGTAATTCGCAGCTGATGTCTTCTAGTCGTTCCAGGCTGGCCGCTTCCATTGGGTTGTAGTAGCAAATGCGCATAATCATGCAAACAAGGGCGAGAACCATGGACGACCCCCAGGCGCCAGTGTTCCGCGGGCCTACGGGTGGGGGGGGGGCGAAGACGCTGGTGAGGAGGAGGAGGAGGAGGAGGAAGAGGAAGAGGAGGAGGAGGAGGAGGATGAGGAGGAGGACCTCCTCATCCTGCATATGGTAGTGGCGGTGGGAAATTAGCCCATCACGACCGTATAGGCAGCTCGCCGCCGCTGCCATCGTCGCTGTCCTCACCGGCGCTGTCTCTGGGGCGGCGCTTTGCACCGCCCGCTCGCCGCCCACCCCCCTTCGGGAGGCGCAGTCCTCGCCGCCGCCGCCGCCGCCGTCGAGTCGTCGCTGGACGCCGCCAGGGCGCCGTGGGCCGTCTTGGCCGCCGCCGCCGCCGCATCCTCGGGAGACGAGCTCTACGGTCGGGAACGTTTGGATAGCGGGTCGCTCCGCCGGTCCTGGCACACCGTCGGACGGGGCTGGCACGAGTAGAAATCTGTTCTAGAGCCTTCCGGAGCGCTCTCAGAGCGTTCCGGCGCGGTCTGAGAATGCCGCGGCGCCCGAAAGATCTTCCAGAGCCGCGGGATCTCACAGACTCGATATATCCGCACCCAAGTTGATATTCGACCTGGCTTCGTCTTACACCGCACCTCGGCGCGGCACGCTATCCACTTCGCGGTTTCCAGGCGTCAGCGTCCCGAGCGTTTTCCGGCCTCCCGCCCCGCTGGGCGGAGCGACAAGCTATTCATTCGTTGGGAACAGCGTGTCTCTGGGGCCGCCGCCGCGACACGCTCTGCAAAAGTTTCCGACTGTATGCGTGATTTGCTGCTGCCGCTGGCCAGGCCCGTCCTGGGTCCAGGAGCCGTTCTATGTGCCTCCCCTGGCAAGCAAGGATGGCGCATACACCGCCCCCGGCCCCAGGTTGGGCCTGCGGCCGGGCCAGGCGCAACGGACCTGTGCAGATCTCTTCGCTCTGCATCAGGTGGCCGCCCGCTCATCGTCCGCCTCCGCCTGTCTGGCGCGAACGCCCCTCCTCAGCGCGCGCCCCTCTGGATCGAGAGGTGTGGTTCGCGGTGCGGACGCGCGTCGTGATCTCAGGCCTCGCGCGCCCCGGCCGCCGCCGCCGCCCTCCGGAGGGCAAGAGACGGACGACGGCGGCGGCGACGACGACGACGGTTGGGGGTTCGGGGTGACCGCTCGGTTGTGGGACTTTGGGCGTTCTCCGCGGATGTCTCGGGCGACTGGGGCCTCCAATGTCCCAAATCTGTGAGGTGACGGACCGTGCGGTGAGGTCGTTGAGGATTCAGGAGGTCACCGTACAGCCTGTCACCGCACCGATCTTGGAGTCCCGACAACGGTGACGACTGGGGCCAGAGGAGCAGAAAGCGGCACCACTGAACATATTTTTTCGGGATTCAGCGCGGGTTGCCTGGTCCGAGCGCCGTGCCCCTGGCGCGCTTCGCGCGCCATGGAAGGGGATCCAGCGCCGACCCAAGAAGTGTCTGTGGACCTCCGACAGTGCGTGTGCTTGTTTTGTTCCTCTGGCCTCGGTCGTCCCCGTTGTCGTCGTCGTCGTCGTCGTCGTCGTCGTCGCCGCCGCCGCCGCCGCCGCCGTCGTCGCCTTCATTCGTCGTCGCTGCCGCCGTCGCCGTCGTCATCGCCACCGTCGCCGTCGTCGTCTGCTGCGGGTCAGCGGATGCGGGCTTGGACCGACGGCGCCTGTGTGCGTCTTGCCGACCCCTGATGGCCAGGGCGGGATGAGGGGCGCGAGTAGCGCACTCAGCTGGCGCGCTGGAGCGCGGGGGCGCCGTCGACGGCGAGCAGACCGCGCAGCGCGCGGAGCTCACTGTTGCCTTGCACGCCCTTGAAGTGGCCCGCGGGCTGGTGGAGGTCATCACGGACCCGAAGTATGTGATGCACGCCGACTTCTGGGACCAGCTGGCCCCGTACTGCTGCGCCGACTGCCTGAGGTTCCGCTGGGTGGCAAGGAGCAGGCGCTGGGGATGGGGCTCTCCCCCAAGGACCACGCCGGTAGCGCGGCGGCCGACGGGCTAGCGGGAGCGGCCGCGAGGGCGCGCCTGCCCGCCCCGGCGCTTGTCCAGCAGCGCGAGCTGCAGTCGCAGGCGTTGAAGGCGGTCCAGCGGCTTCTGGCGGCGGTCAAGCTGGCTGTCGTCAAGGCCAGCCGCGACCCCACCGCGCTGGGCGAGCCCCAGGTGTGGCGCCGCTGGACAGTAGTCCGGCGCACGGCCGGTTGGCGCGGTGCGACGGCCGGCGCCGGCGGGCTGCCGCAGCTTGCGCTGGTGGCACCGCCGCGGGCCCCGCAGCTCTTGCTGCGCACGACGCCCTTGGCGACCCCACGCCGCCTCGCAAGCGCCTGGTTGGGCCGCCTGCCTGCAGTGCGGCTGCACGGTGCCGCGTTTGGGCGCCATGGCAGCTGGCCCGTGCGCGTGGTGGGCGACTGCCCTGCCACCGCGCGTTGGGCGCGCTGCTGCTCCTGCTGCTGCCGCCTGCGCGTGCAGGGGGCGAGCAGGCGCATGCCGCGCGGCCCTGTGCGTCCGCCTGGCCGCGACACCAGGCGCGCTGGAGGCGCCGTGCGAATTAGGTGCCGCAGCCTCTCCCGTTCCCCCCTTCCCTCCCCTCCCCCCCCCCGTGCCAGAGGGCTTCTTCGCGCTTGTAAGAATTTCAAAGGGTTGTCGCACGGGGCCCCCGCTCGGTCCGACAACCCGCACCCTTACCTATAGCGTCATCATCGCCATGCCCGTCGCAATCCTGTTTCCTACAGGTTCGCATGCGTGCATTGTTGTTTCATGATCTATATTGCTCCTCTAACCCCCTTCCCTCGTGCGCACGAAGCGCAGGTGGCGGACTAGCTGGCGAATCTGCACCTCGTATTCTCTGCACCCTTCTCCTCCAGCGGCCTGCCTGCCGGTGCAACTAGAGACTAGAGCAAGCGCGCGGTTTGTAGCGCATGCGGCATCCCACAAAATGACAAGCCATGATCGATCGAACATTCGGGCCAAGTTCGGGGCTGCTGCGCTGTGCCGCAGTGGTCGCAGCCAAGCAACCCCGAACTTGGCCCGAATGCTGGATCAATCGTTCGATTGATCGATCAGCCTGCCTCCCCCCCCCCCGTGCGCGGGCGAGAGACCAGCTCGCGCTTCTGTGTTCTGTAGTGTGCCTGGACACCTCTCTTCGGGAAACTGGGAAGGCCGTGTGAGCCTGACAGAATTCCGAAGGCCTAGTCCTCCTCCTCTGACCCTTTTGTTTTACTCAGTTGCGTCATCGCACCTCGACGGCTAAACCCGGCTCTGGACTTTAGCGGTCGTGTACGTGAGGCGCGCGGCAATCGCAATTCGTCTGAAGAGCACTTCGCCCCTGGGTCATGCTTAATGGGCCCTCTGTCGTCACCCAGAGGCTGCGCGGAGCTGGTTGGCCTGGGCTTGGTGTTGGAGAAAGTAATTTCCGAAGGCCGAGAGAAAGATCAGCCTGACGGAGTTGAACGGGCTCTCTTCCCAAATTGGCTCGCTTCGATCTCCTGAAGCAGTCACTACTGGCTTGAGGATCGATGTCCGGGGACATCGGCAGGCGGTGGATATGGTGGATATGGCTAAGTGTTGTCGCTTGCAGCGTCCCCGCAGATCGATTCCCCAGGCTGTGGATATGGTTATGTAATGCTCCACCTCGCAGATTTCCAGATGCCTGCGGCACGTCCCACCACCGCGCCAGCGCAGCATTCTCGGTGGCGACTGTTCGAGGGGACGGAGGCCGTCACGCGTGACACCATGTGCCTCCTGGCCTGGTGGAGCCGTGATCAGGATGATGCGGAAGATGATGATGATGATGATGATGATGATGATGGTGATGGTGATGGTGATGGTGATGGTGATGGTGATGGTGATGGTGATGATGATGATGATGATGCTGTTGATGATGATGATGATGAAGCTGGTGATACTGATGATGCTGATGATGATGGTGACAATGATGATACTGATGCTGCTGCTGATGATGGTGCTGATGCTGCTGCTGCTGATGATGATGATGCTGCTGCTGCTGATGATGATGATGCTGGTGCTGCTGATGATGATGGTGGTAGTGGTGCTGCTTATGATGACGATGATGATGATAATGGTGATGATTATGATGCTGATGATAGTGATGATGCCGCTGCTGATGCTGCTGATGATAGTGATGATGATGCTGATGCTGCTGATGATGATGATGATGATGAAGTAAATATGCTCTTCTCCGCCTCATAATCAATTAAGACATAACTTAGTTTGCATGCATTGCACTGTCCGCTGGAATTGACAGCTGCGCTCCGCAGCTGTATGACTGCTCGGGCAAGCCAACTTCGGCTTGCAGGAGAGAAAAGGAGTGCGCTGGGGCGCGCGGGCGGCTCGTCGTCGTCCGTCCTCGGCCGACCTCCTCCCTTCACATCCCTGATCGAGTAGTCTTGCTTAGCGGATACTTGTGTTATCAATGTCTCATTCCGTCCCTTCTCTCCCTGAGCAGAGTGAACATGAGATATTAATTCCTTTGTCATCTTACCCCGATTCTCAGAGGAAAGATTGGTTATCAGCCGAACTGCGCGACTCAGTCGACGCGGGGCCATTAGATACAAAAGAAGATCTTTCAGCTGCGCCCCGCGACTCAGTCGCTGCGGGAAAGAGCTATGATAAGACTGATATCGTGTCCAATATCTCGAGAAGCGCCGATAGGCGCGTTGTACAACATGATGGACACGACGCAGACAGAAACGGTCCTGCTCAGGACCGAATCCCCCCTTTATACATCGCCACTCGGGTAGTGAGGGGAAGAAGTACCGAGGGGATAACCGAAATGTCGGTAGACGTATCCCCCGCGGGGGCTGCGATTGGTAATCGCGAGCAAACCCCGGACCCGCACGGGCGAGATGGCGTCGCATCAAGACCCAGACGAAGTGCGTTTTCGTCATGGAGTGCCAAACCAACGGAGTCAATCAGCTCAATTCCGAATGCTCCACACGCTACTGCTATTGCCGCTGGTGAAGCCGGCCGGCCAGGGGAAGTCCAAGGGAATATGAATGCGTATCCTGATATCCCGACCGAATGGGTGGGCACCAGTGTCAACGCCCCAATCCCGATAGCACTTAACGGACAATTCGGTCAGGACAGTGATGACCCAATTGAAAAAGATCACGAAATATATTCCATGGAGGAAGATTTTGATAGCATCAATAATGAGATTTCCCTGAGCCGAGCATTGTCCGTAATGATGGAAGAAGACATCCTTGCTCAAGACGAAAGATGGTCTCCAGATGGATCCGATGAAGACACTAGCATCCTGACTTCTCAGGCGGACAGGGCGGAGGCTCAGATTAAGCATGAGAGGGAGTCCACAGGACGAGCCCCCGCGCCTCACCTCAAGAAACAACGGAATGAGGACTACGAGCTAAACGTCCGACCACTGAAGGAAGGTTTCTTCCGTAATGCCACCACCTCAGGTGAGTGGCAACCCTCGATTCCGGCTGTTGTTGAGGATGAAGAAATGGTCGGACAACCAGCTACGCATGCTCAGCTAATAACACAAGACGAAAAGGATGAGGAGTTCTTAAATGCGCATAAACCACCAGAAAGTACCTTCATTCGCCCCAGATAAATTGCTTCAAGCAGGGGGAGACCCAAGATACCAAGATCAGGGGCGAGATCTACTTCAAGGAGCAATAGTACAGCTTCTATGATGGAGGCATGTTGGAACCCCAACCCTGACTGCGCACCTCAGGCGGAGAGCAGATGCCCAGGAAAAGCCAACGGGCCAGAAGGCGCATGTAGGAACCCAGTGCGCAAGAGTTGCTCGGACGTTTGCAACAAGTGCAACGCGCAATGGCCGTGCACGGAGTGTTGCCCAATGGGCGAGCATAACTGCGCGCATCTCCTCATGCAGTCTATTCAGGACCAGGCCAGGCCAGCGGAGGCTAACACTCAGAGGGAGTTTCTGACCAATGAAGCGCAGCTGGCCGAAAGGGCTCGATTGGACAGAGAAGAATTAACTGAAACTGTGGTCGAAGCTAGAAAAACGTTCGAGGCTGAGCGGATCGCCCTGGCCATGGCTGCTAG